TACTAACTATATACTAATTATGACATAGTATCTATTAATTAGTACTTACTATCTACTAATTATGACTTATTATGTTCTAATTAGTACTTACTATCTACTAATTATGACTTATTATCTACTAATTAGTACTTACTATATACTAATTATGACATAGTATCTATTAATTAGTACTTACTATCTACTAATTATGACTTATTATCTACTAATTAGTACTTACTATATACTAATTATGACATAGTATCTATTAATTAGTACTTACTATCTACTAATTATGACTTATTATGTTCTAATTAGTACTTACTATCTACTAATTATGACTTATTATCTACTAATTAGTACTTACTATATACTAATTATGACATAGTATCTATTAATTAGTACTTACTATCTACTAATTATGACTTATTATCTACTAATTAGTACTTACTATATACTAATTATGACAAAGTATCTATTAATTAGTACTTACTATCTACTAATTATGACTTAGTTTCTACTAATTAGCACTTACTATCTAATAATTAGCACTTACTATCTACTAATTATGACTTAGTATCTACTAATTAGTACTTACTATATACTAATTATGACTTAGTATATACTAATTAGCACTTACTATCTCCTAATTAGTATTTACTGTCTACTAATTATGACTTAGTATCGACTAATTATAACTTACTATCTACTAATTAGCACTTACTATCTAATAATTAGTACTTACTATCTACTAATTATGACTTAGTATCTACTAATTAAGAGATAAAAATATTTCAGGTTTGGCACTACGACGCTTCCATACATTTTCCATAAGTTTTCAAATATTGGTAAAACCCCAGGTATGAACCATGTCACATTCCCATTTTATTTTTGAAATGTGACATAGTTCATTTATTTAAAAGGTGCGTGCGTGCATTTTTGGTTGCAAATATAACTTCTATTATCTTCACAAGATGTCCTTTCCAGCTGTCCTCAATAAACAATCCCAATTAATAATATTTTATAGTGAACACATGTATATCAGTACTATTCTACGTTTGAAATGGTCATCAATATCCAAATATCTATAAATGACAAAGATATGGTAATTTAAGTGTCCTCGAGGACAAGGTCATTTCAAGGTCAATATTGCAGTTGAACTATTCAAGATGTCCGTCCTGTCATAAATGTATGAATGACATCTGATCATTGATAACAAAAAAATGGCAGTTTTATCACAATTAAATCATTTGACTTTAAGATAAGTCTTTATTTTTATTATTAAAAGGCAAACAACTCTTGACATATTCAGTCGTTTTAGCTCATGAATGAACTTGATCGAGACCTTATTGTTATACATATTCTGTATAAAAAATTTACGAATGTAGAAGAAACGAAAACACTAACAAGGTGAAATATAGTGCGTTTTTGTTGTTGTTGTTGTTGTTTTTTTTTTTGGTTAGATTTATTCTATAATCTAACTTTGTTGAGATTTATGGTCATAGATATTGTGTTGAAAATTGTCAAACTTGAAGAAGAAATGAAAGCGTTGGACTGGTTGCAATGTGAAATATAAGAGATATTGTATCATAGTTTGGGGACCTTTCTGTTGAAAAAGTGTCAGAGTTAAATCGTATACATATACATGCACAGTGCGGTAACTGGAGTGCAGGTATCAGTTACCCGCACTCCAGATAATGCCCGTTGATTGGTTCATTTTTGCTGGGGTTTACTTATTGTGACGGCAGAGAAAAGGAAAGGGAGGGGCAGAAATATCATATTCAAATGCTCGTTCATTGGTTCATTTTTTCTGAGGTTTCGTATTATGACAACAGGGAACGTGCTGTCATGTTTGACTATGATACAAAAGAGAAAGAACACCAAAACACTCGGCAATCTGATTTATACTCGGGGGCTACGCCCCCTCGTACAAATCAGATAGCCTCGTGTTTTGGTGCTCTTTCTATTACTTGTAAGTCAATGGCAGATAACTCAGGACATATTGCTTAGGGTATGTAGATGCTGGAGTGGTAACAAGCTAATTTTGGACGGACAGACAGACAGGCGTATACTAAAGTGAGCTAAAATTAACACACAATAACACCTGATAATAACTGGACAAAATTAACGAAAATTATATAAACTTTAAAATATGGACGTTATGTGGCAGGACCATGCCTTTTTGCCGCAAAATGTACGTCAGAAAAATGTGGACGATATGCGCCGCAAAACGTCCATATACGTACGTTTTGCGGTACGGACGTTTTGAGGTGTTACAAGGCACAGAAGTGCTCAGCTAAACAGGAGACTTTAGGTAACAAATTTAACTCCAGTTTCGCAGGTAAATGAATTCTATATGGCACGGTTAACGTCTTAATATACGGTAAACCTATGCTTTTGAACACTTCTGCTCTTAAAAATATTATAAACGAGTAAAATAAACTTCCTTTTGAGGGCAAATAATTTAAAAAGTAGCATAGTGACCCCCGATTTCTCTTTTATAAGTTTGCTATATCAAATTATTTAATACTCAAATATTAGGAACATTCTGTCTACAACATGTAATTGAAGTTTCCCCTAGTATAAAAACGAAGGTGTGTTATCTTTTGGTAAATGGAAAAAATGTCTATTAATATGATCATGACTGTGAAAAAATCATGTTTTGTGAACCTAGTAATCCTGCCGATAAAAATTTTGCAAACAATCTGGTGTAACTCACTCATTTTTAGAGCTTACACATAGTATTAAATAAGAAGGAAATTTTCTAAGAACAAAATAACCGAAATACTAACGAATTAACTGACATGCCTGTTACCACTGTAGGGAATGTGTTACAGTATCGCGTTTTCCGGTTACAGTATAGGTAGCACTCCACACTAAATTTCAAGTTTCTGCCATCAATGTCCTACAAGCAATATGTCTGATAAATCTGATCCCAAACTACACAACCTGGAAAAAGAAAACACATTTTGTTAAGAACATATATATCATAACATTGCAAATCTGTAATGAAATCATGTGCAACAGCCAGGCAGTTAAAATTACGTAAAAGCCAAAAAATCTATAGTGGTCCGAGACCCAAAACAACATTTTTTGTCCCTCCGGCAAAAAATACCTGCAAAAAAACGGTCTACAGAAACTCTGTCACTGCTTTAGCAACTCCCTATACATGCAAAATATTACAAAGAAATAGTTGCTTGGCCTTGTTGATTTTTTGCTATTGCTGAAAGTTTGTACCCCCTGTAAAATTACTTGTTTTCATCATGCATGCTGTTTAAAAGCAATGTTAACAAACAATGGCGGCATTGACATCAATAAATATCAGCAGGTGATTTCCAACCATGTTTTCGAATTTGCCAATGATCAAATTGCAAATATGCAAATCGCGTTATGTCTGGTAAAGGGAGTGAATTATGCGCTGCTAAACTTAAGATACATCAAACTCCTCGCAGCGGTTACTTCCCCTGATCTGTACAGTTAATGTAGCAAAGCGTGACGTAACCGCTGTGAGGAGATTGAAGATACATATGGTATTGTATGCATGTACTTGACAGACACAATAGATCAAGCACACGTGCATGAATATAGAAAAATGAATTTGTTCATGTTAATTGCTTTATTGATAGTGCAATTTGGTCGTACTGAATCATCACATTTTGTATTGAAATGATTTGCAATGAAATGGGCCGTATTTGTGTAATATAATAATATCAACCAAGTTTATAACCTACCTGTACCGAGCGGTAAATTTCAGCTATCTGTCATCACTGCAGTGATCTGCCATCACTGGCGACGGTAATACGGTGTGAAACATCAACAACTAATAAATTCAATTGCAATCAATGCTTTTAATATATGAAAAGCCCCTAACAAATTTGATAAGTATACTCATCAAATTATATTTAGTTTTATATTAAGAATAACTATATTTATTCTTTAATTAAGATTATGTTTATGATATATTTTATATGTGGTCGATTACAATAAACATAAAAGTTTGTATTAAGGACTAAGTCCAGTTTTATGTTTCAAGGCTAAGCCTTGTAGTACTGACCAGAGTAGGTACAGTACCTATCTTATCTAACATTGCCAAAGTCAGCTTATTTATACAATCCAGTACTGAAAAGTAGAAAAGCTTATTTATACAATCCCGTACTGAAAAGTAAACCTCATACAAATTATTTAAAGGATTCTTTTTCTTATTTCAGTATTGACGTTTGGAATAAATTACCTATTACTATCAAACAATGTTCGATTTTTACAATCTTTCAAAAACAACTGTATAATTTATGTTCTAAGTTTACAGTTAGAGACATGATGAAAATTGATCTTGTTGTTAATTGTCGATAGCTTCATTTTTTAATCATTACGAGTTTATCTATAATTACCATAATTAGTATGAGTGTCAGTCGGATGAATGAATAAAAATTATCTAACCATTACATTAAATGATTTTTTTTATTTCTTTTTTATATATACCAAAATATTTTAATAATTTGTATAGATCTACATTTTTTTCTTTGTTATTGTTAAATCAGAAGGCCATACTGAAAATAAGTATACTTGTTACTGTGAACTTTGTATGTTACCTTTTATAAATAAATATTTTATTATTATTATCACTACAACAATTTGATTGGTTGAGAATAATATTGTATATACCAAGCAATAAGTAATAAAGTTAGTAACTCTTAACTGTTAATTTAGATTACTGTAAATACCAATCCCATTACATTCCTCCCTCCTTAAAAACAAAGAAACCCCATGTTATTAGAAATTAAATCTTTATAAATATAATTTAAAAAATAAAGGAAGGAAAGAATTACTCTTTTATTTAAGAAACTTATCAAAATTTGAATCAGAAGAAAAATCTATTACAAAATCATTTAAAAACAAAAGGAAGAATGTTACAACAAAGATAAACAAAATCGAATGAACCTAAATGAACCTTACAGTAAAAAGCACACACTGAACCTTATATTTATATAAAAACAAACAAAATATTCCACATTTCAAACTCACTTTCAAACGTCCTCCCAATCTAGCTCTGTAAATCTGTTGAAATAAAGCTCCACCACTTCATCCCACGCCCGATTCCTTCGTTCTTCAGCATCTTTTGCTTTTTTGTCGAGTCTCAGTTGGTCTAACTCCAACTGAGTGAGAAGTCTTTGCTTGATACTGTCACCAGGCGGCACGTAATAGGGTTGACCACTTTCTTTTCCTCTGACATGTGAAGTGGGCCAGTTCTAAAACAATGGCACCTGGTATCAAATTTCCTTTGCGAGATCCTCTCACATGAAACACATTTAAAGAGGACTCTAGTCGGTCCGTGGCAGGCCATCCAGTGCTTGTTAAAGAGCGAGTACTTAGTGAACTGGACACTCGTCTCCAGATGTGAACCAAATGGTCTCTCTGAGTTAGGCCTTCTAAGTTGAGCTTGTACCATTTTCAAACATATTCAATATTAACTTTTAAAAGTATAGGATGAACAACTCTTACATGAATGTTCATGTACTTAAAATTTTAGATTTCATGAGTTGTTTCCCTTGATAACAGGCATTATCATATAATCATAAAGTCTATTGTACAAATTTCTGAGGGTGATATACTTCAAACACATCTAATATATGCACATGTCTTATGTGCATAACACAGAAACATGTTGAAGCATATCATGATTAGTTATATATTATTATAATCATGTTAACCTTAACATAATTATGAATATAACAGTTTGTATTAACAAATAAATCTGCACAAGTATTATTTACAATTAATGACATAATATACAAGTTATTACAGTTTTTATTTATTTATTTATTTATTTTGCACATACAATTACAACATTCAATTTATCTCATATAAACTTAGTGTTAACCATTATATATGTATTTATATAATGCATATTCACAAGTTTTATTTCTATTTCATTACATTTAAAGTGAAAAATATCTTCTTACTTTTATGTGTATTTTTTTTAACTTTTTTATTTACACTATAAATCTTTTGGCTCGAAATTTCACGAGGCTTTATTATCCTCTCTCGTCTTGATCTTGGAACAAATGGAATAGTCTTAGGGGAAGCAGGCAAATCATTATTCTGAGAAAACAAACATGTATTCTCCGAATCATTGGTAATATCAGTACTTATTGATTTGCCTTTTAATCCAGAACTGGTTGTTTGTTTAACCTAATTATGTGGAAGATTTTTCCCTTCAAAAGGTTTCAAATGATCTACATGAACAACAATGGCTTTAACACTTTCAGATTTCTGTATTTTGTATGTTAAATAATTTATTTTAGACAACACTAAATAGGGCCCTGTCCAACATTGACATAACTTTTTATTAGCTACCGGAGGGTACCACCTCAAAACCGAGCCTCCCTTTACAAATTCCCTCAAATTAAACCTCTGTCATAATATTTTTTCTGCCTACTTGCAGCTATACCTCTGTATATATTTCTCATAGGCAAATGAATATGACTGCCTCATGGTTGATTTAACCCATTTAACATATTCTATTGTGCATTCATTTTCAGGCTGGCCTGGTTGAGGGCCTACCATTAAGTCTATAGGGTTATCTACCTCGCGCCCTAACATTAACAAATTGAGTGAACAGCCTGTACTACTATGTTGGGTAGCACGATAAGCTGCCATAATATAGCACAAATGATCATCCCAGTCTTTTTGATTTTGTTCTACAGAAACAAAATGGGTCAACATTTGAAGAATTGTTCTATTATTTCTTTCAATCATGCCATTCGATTTTGGATTATATGGACACGTTCGGGTTTTGTCTACGCCTAACAGTTTACAAATTTCTGAAAACAAATGAGATTCGAATTCTCTCCCTTGGTCAGTATGAATTTGTGTTGGGAACCCGTACTGAAGAAATACCTGTGTAATCAAAGTATCGGCTACTGTATATGCTGTATGATTGGGGACGGCAAAAGCCATTTTCCATTTGGTAAAATAGCAACCACAAACAATAACATATTCATTATTTTGGTTAGTTAAAGGTAGAGGTCCTAAAATATCGACTGATAAGATTTCCATAGGCCGAAAAGCTTTAATTTGCTTAATAAGAGCTTTCCCTTTACCAGGGCCTAGCTTACATTTAGCATAAGTTTGGCATTGGCGAACCCAACGGGCAATATGGTCAGACATACCGAGCAAGTAAATGGCATCAACAGTACGGTCCCTCCCAATGTGACCCGAATTAATAGATCTAGTCTTTTCAGGTGCTACTAATTGTAACATAACCATACGATTTGTGATACAAAACATTGTCTTTTATTTCAAGAACTTCCCATAATTGCCAAAGTTTAATGATATCACTATGTAAAGATTTTTCAGGTTTTATTTTAATCAGACAATTTCAGCAATTGAAATATCCTTAGATTGCATTTCAAATATTTCTTGGTTAGACCATTTGGTGTAACCAGTTTTGTTTGATATCATTTTGTTTTTTACTACATTATTGTTCACAAGTTATTGGGTTTATACATGTAGTACTACAGTTAACAGTTTCAGTAACATTTTCTGAATAAATTTTATTTTTTGCCTGACATGTTGAATCTTTATTTTCATTTTTTTTTATCATTTGAATTAGATTCATGCTTTTGTTTCAATGCTACATTTTTTGTCATATTGTTGTTTTGATTAATGTTCACAGCACCCTGACTTTCAGAACAACCTGTAATTTTGCAAGGTCTTTTTATCATGCGAGTGATACTGTCAGCATTTGAGTGTTTTGATCCTTCTCTATATTGTATTTCAAACTCATATAAACCTAAGATACTGATCCAACGTGCAAGGAACCCTTTTGGTTCTTTAAACTTTTGTAAATAGGTTAAGCTCTTATGGTCTGAGCGTATCAGAAACATTTTACCTAGCAAATAATACTTATTATGTTGCACAAAATGTACAATTGCCAAAAGTTCACGCTTTGTCTAAAATACTTATTTCATATAAAAGTAAAATGCATTTCTAAAGGAATTGAAAGGCATTTTTGCTTAATTATCTCCCTTTTTATAATTTTTCCCCAAAACCATCACAAATATTCATTTCAAACTTGAAATATTGATTGAATATCAAGGCAAAAATTTCATCTGAACAAAAACGGCAAATACGTGAAAAACATGCACAGTATGAAATGCACGGTCAACACGAAAATCGACAGACAAGCTTGGTATAATTCGAAATGTTTTGCGACATTTAACGTTCACAATGCGACATTTAACGGCAAATGATTTTGCGACATTTAGCGACGGTTGCGACATTTAGTGGCAATGGTGCGACATTTAACGGCAAGTGTGACATTTAGCGGCGTTGCGACATATAACGGCGCAACAAACATGAATTTAGATATTGTGACATTTAACGATAGTGTTGCGACATTTAACGGCAACACATTTTGAGACATTTCGCGATGGTTCCGACATTTAGCGGTAATAGTGCGACATTTAGCGGTAATAGTGCGACATTGGACGGCAATAGTGCGACATTTAGCGGCAAGTGCGACATATAACGTTGCAGCAACAAGCTCAGAATGACAAAAATGAAATCAAATGTCAGCACTATTTCAAATCGCCATCTTGCCGATTATTGTCGCAGTTTTCATTTGATAAAACTACGGAATAAGGTTGGAAAGACCTTAGGTCAACTGTCTAGGCTAAATGTCATAATAATATCTGTCAATCGATCTTAAAATTAAAACCTGGATCATCTTGCAATAAGTGAACGATATTTCACGTATTGAACTACATAACAATTCATTAATCTCTATCAAGGACCGATTTCTATGGCAGCTGTAAAGCGTTACCAGGTATGGTACTTCATGTCATTGGTTTTATATTTTTTCTGGCCATAAGTCATTCGGTATAATTGTTTTAGATCCTTTTTATTATCTTCAGTTGACAACTATCTAAACCGGTGCAAGGGGCCCCAAGAGACGTTGCTATTTTCAACACCTCGTTTATATTAAGTTTGTTATATCTAAACACCTGCTTATTTTTTCTGCTCTGAATTCATTATAATTGATTTCGGTCCTTTCATCATTTAAAGTTGAAAACAATCTAAACCGGTGCAAGGGGGCCAAACACACGTTGCAGTTTCCAGCATCTCTGCTAGACAGACTCAATAATATTAAGTTTGTAATATTGAAATATCTGCTTAATGTTTTTTCTCTGCTCTAAATTAAAGGGGCTTGTTAGAGTCTTGTTAACTGAAGATAGTAACACTAAAAGTGTAATAATATATGTCACAAAATTAAAGAAGTAAAATGTAAACAAAGTAGTATTTTGACTTCCATACAAAAAATACTAAATCACTATAATTGTTATATTTGCCAAAAAGCAACAGAAGAAAAAGATAAGTTCAGTTAACTGTCAATGAGATACTTTTTGGAAGCTTTAAAAGTACATAAAAAAAAAGCTTGCGAGAAATAAAACTTCAAGGATATATCGGGCATAATGGGCTTTTTACAGTAAAAGGGATTTCAAATGAAACAATTTCAGCAGTTAAAAGTACAGTTTGATCAGGTTACACGGTTGTTAAGATACCATTAGACGTATGTTACATCGGTGTTACTGCAGCTACTTATAATAAAAAACAACGTAAATTGAGAAATGAAATCATGTTTACTGAAATTGAGCATAGAATATGCCACAAAATTGCTTTGTTTAATTGATACAAAGAAAGAAATCCGAAAAGAAAATGAAAATGTACAAACAATACACTTTTTCCACCAAAAATTTCCATATTGAATCAAATATCATTTATTTATCACTATTTTATCCCACTATTTATCCCACCTATAACCCTGACCTTGAAATAGTTGTTGGTTGACCTTGTTCAGTTGGTTTTTTACAGCATATCAAACGATTTACTTCCGCTCGAAATTTCGTGCCGCTGAGAAAATATATCACAAAATTCACCGAATGGTTTATGTACATTAATAAGTTAGCTATTGTTTCTACCAGAAACATCGCAGCAATTTTATGGTCCGATGCACCTTCTTTCCAGTAGGGTTCTCCAATCGGGTAAACAACAATTGGCGTAACGCAGACGATAAATATAATACTAACAAGTAACAAAAGTTTTGTGAGACCGGAAGTTTTACTTTGCTGTGAGGCTGTTATTTGGTATGCACTTGGTGCCACTGTATGGCGGCTTCGTCTGTGACTATCTAACACTTTATATATTATCAGACTGTTTCCAACCAAAAGAAATAACAACGGCACAAGATAGAAGACACACAAGTCAACCCAAGTCCAGGAATAAGAAATGAAATAACTGTAATCTCCTGATTTTGGAATACAAATTTCTTTAACGGTTTCGTTGTTTGAATGCCGAATGATGTTTCCATACCCGAAAAGGTAATGACTGTTTAGCAAAACGAGCGAAAAGATAATTACACCAACTACGACACAAGCAACTCTCATTTTACAGAAGATCCGGCGTCTATGTGGAATGTAAGAACTAATGACACGTTCCAGTGTTACACATATAAGCATCCAAGATGAACATTGCGTTGTAACATAGACCATAAACCAGTGAAACCTACACCCCGTTACGGTCAAATCTTCTCGGATGTCGATTTTAAATGTGTATTTTATCCACTGTCTTAGCAGTCCTGTAACTAGTGCCAAAATGTCCGACAAAGCCAGCGTTGCTAGGAAAATCGACGTAGGGGACGCTCGAAGACGCTTGTTTATTAAGACTATAATTGTTAAAGTGTTTCCGGTAGTTCCAAACAAAATAAGAAATGGTGGAATAATTTTCCAAAGC